TCTGAAAACAAAAAATGTTAGGCCTAGCAGTTATGACACCAGTTGGAATGCAGGCATCCCGTATGAGAGTGCCAGTGTTCAAGTCCTGGCTTCACTCCTGATTCCAGCTTCCTGCTAATGTGCACCCTGGGAGGCAGCAGGTGATGACACAAGTAGTTGGGTTTCTAGCACCCTTATGGAGACCTGGATTGAGTTCCCAGTTCCTGGATTCTGCCTAGCCATCACTCTCCATCTGTTTCTCTCTCCCTTTCTCTTTTCTCTCTCTCTTTCTTCAAATAAATAAAATTTTTTTAAAATCACAAATTTTTTGAAATACTAAAATATTCATATGTTCTGATATAAATAATATCAGTTAATTTTATAACATTTACATATCTTGAGGAGAGAATATAAGACTCAAAAATTTTCACTTGTTTCCTTAACATTCAAACACATTCTTGCATATGCATATACCATCTATAATTTACTGTCTTTGAAAATATTGGATATAAACCAGATAGGTAAAATATTTAGATATTTCATTTTGTAATAATTTCATTCCTTGAGTAGTAGCTATTCCAATAAAAAATTAAGTGGATCATTAGTCACAGAATGCCCTGAGAATCTATGTACATTCTTTAGTAATTTATTATTGAATTATTAATTTATGTCATATATTGTAAAGTTCTCATACATTTCCCCATCTATCTTGAATGTCAGTCCTCACACACATCTTTACCCACCTAGCTCCTTCATTAGCAAAATATATTTTCTCTGCATATTGCTAGCCTCAGCTCCTTTTTCTATTTTTTATTTTTCTTATTCTATAAGCCTTCTTCATTTTTATTTTTTTTCATTTTCAATTATCTTTATATACAGAAGATAAATTTAGTATATATTAAGTAAATATTTCATCAGTTTGCACCCACACAGAACATAAAGTGTAAAATACTGTTTCAGTACTAGTTATAGCATTAATTCACATTGAACAACACATTAAGGACAGAGATCCTACATGAGGAGTGTCCATTTCACTTCAACAGGTTTCCTTTTTGGTGCTTGGTTAGTTGTCACCGATCAGGGAGAACATATGATATTTGTCCCTTTGGTACTGGCTTAATTCACTCAGCATGATGTCTTCATTTTTCATTAACTTGTTAGGAGGAAGAGAGATGGGACAGAAAGACAGAGCTCCCTCTGCTGGTTTACTCCCACGATGTCTGCAATTACTGGGGCTGAGCTAAACTGAAGCTGAGAGCCAAGAACCCAATCCAGGTCTCCCATGTGAATAGCAAGGAGTCAGCTACTTGAACCACCATCTGATCCTTCCCAGGATGCACATTATTTGGAAGGTGGAATCAGAAACCAGATCTAGGTGTCCAACTCAGGCACTCCAATATGGGATGCAGGCATCTCTGTTGTCATGTCAACTGCTACACCAGACACCTACCTTCTCCATCTTTATTCTCAAGAGGAATCTGCCATCTTTTCTGATCGCAGCTCACTCCTTCAACATATGTTATTGGTCTCATTATGCTGCGTAGTAAACTGTCTCTCCCTCACGTTCTCTTGCAATATACAATGTCCTTAAAATCAGGGTTCATGTTGAATATTTATCTATATCACCCAAGCACTTAGCAACTTAGCATTTCTGTACTTACCACTTAGTTCATCTTTACATCTTTCACACCTAGCATAATTTCTGGCTAAGCTCTGACAGTGAATAAAGGAATCAACAGATATTCTAAGGGTATCTAATGAAGGATTGTGTTTGTAATTTCTTGTGTTCTAACTTCAAGTTTGGAGAAGATTTTTACCACCGAGAATATCCTTTGAGATGTAGTTGTTTCCTTTTTATCTTACTTCATAAACCTAGTTCTCAAAAATATATTCAGAAAAAAATGTAAAATGATTATTGGCGATCTCACAAAAATGATATTTTTAAAAATCCATCCTTGGCACAGAGAAAATTGTGATCACAACCTGTCACCATTCTAAACATCATTTTTATGGTTGTGAATAAAATATATTTGGTGGGGAATAATTTTAGAAAGAAAAAACTCATTATCACCCTGATTTCTTAAATAGCAGTGAAAAATTCCCTCTGCTATCACTGTCTATGAAGGTTACCCACAGAATGTGTTTGGATCTATTGTATGTGATAGGAATATTTTTATTTGTAATGTAATGACCATGATAACTGCACACAGTAAAAATTCAAAATATGCCTCTTTTTTAAAAATTACAAATTTTAACTTAAGGAAAGCCTAGAAAATATTGAAGGAACAAAACCTGTGCATTTAATTCCCTAGTGAATGTTTGTTCTATTTTAGTGAAGTCATATAATTTTGGGGGAAAAATTATCATGCAAAAGTGCTTAGCCTTAGAGGAATTCATGAAGAACGTGAAAGTGAAGATGAAGGCAGAGATACAGTTTTGCCCACTCCTTTTCCTGCTTACACACAATGTTTGGCCTCTGACCTTGGCCTCCCCACCACGTCTGTCAAGATGCTTTCCGTAACTAACAAAGCTGAACCGCTGTAGAAAGTTTTCATTTTGGTAAGGGACTTTGGAAGAGGAAGTGTCATCAAGACCTCACAAGGACATGTCTCTAATTGCAAAATATCAACCTAAGTTTGGTGGGAGGTATTTGGAGAGGATTTTGTTATTCTTCCTGAAGCACTTTTTTTTTTTTTTTTTTTGACAGGCAGAGTGGACAGTGAGAGAGAGAGACAGAGAGAAAGGTCTTCCTTTTGCCATTGGTTCACCCTGCAATGGCCGCTGCGGCCAGCGCACCGCGCTGATCCGATGGCAGGAGCCAGGTGCTTCTCCTGGTCTCCATGCGGGTGCAGGGCCCAAGCACTTGGGCCATCCTCCACTGCACTCCCTGGACACAACAGAGAGCTGGCCTGGAAGAGGGGCAACCGGGAATCCAGTGCCCCGACTAGGACTAGAACCCGGTGTGCCGGCGCTGCAAGGCAGAGGATTAGCCTAGTGAGCCGCGGCGCCGGCCCTGAAGCACGTTTTGTAGCTTCCAATATACTTGAGCTAAATCATAAGTTGACCATTTGTGGAAAAATTCTCCCTCAAATAATATTTCCTTTCTCTGGGAACTATTATCCCCCCTTTGTTTTGAACTGGCTGGAACTGATGACAGAGAAAAAGGCAAATGGAATTGGAAAATAATAATGTTGCATAATTTTAGCAGTCTAGTTTTTAAAATCTTACAGAATCAGGATATATATTGATCATCAAAAAGAATTGGTGCACACAATATTAACATTCCATTTTCCTGATGAGTTTTTTGATAATCATCATTGAGTGATGTCAATTAACAAAAAAAAAGCCTAAAATCCAGCTAGTTTGCTCCAAATTCCATATTCTTCCTCCCACTACCATAGAAAAAAAAAACAAGATTTCATACAAAACAATAAATGAGTCCTCAGTCAACATTAAAAAATTTCACTCATTCTTACACATGCAGCTGCAAAGATTTGAACAAAGAAATAAGCCACACAGGCTAGACCCCATTTTAAAAGCAAAAGCCCTACCAACCCCTAAAATATTATAAAGTCTCATTCCATAGCCACAAGACAGTAGGGGTTCATGACAACCAGTAAGGCAAAATGTTTCAAGAGCAGTCATGAACCCAGAGTCTGGGTCTTAAAGAAGGCAAACAGTTGAGTTTTAATATGACACTGGGGAAGAGGGACCTTTGTTTAACTATATAGACTGGGATATCTTGGATTTATTTCTCCCTGAAAGAACTTAATTGTAGGGGCTGGTGCTATGGTGCAGGGGGTTAACGCCCTAGCCTGAAGCACTGGCATCCCATACGGATGCTGGTTCAAGACTCGGCTGCTCCACTTCTGATCCAGCTCTCTGCTATGGCCTGGGAAAGCAGTAGAAGATGGCCCAAGTCCTTGGCATATTTTTAAGAGAGAGTAATTCATGGGAATGGAGCAGGGGTTAAGGCACAACTCCAGCCATTGCTGCCAATTGGGGAGTGAACCACTGGATGGAAGACCTCTGTGTGTGTGTGTGTGTGTGTGTGTAACTCTGACTTTCAAATAAGTCTTAAAAAATAAAAAGAATTGTAATTTCAGATCCCCTACTCACTACTGCAGGGACTCCTACTACATTACATATTTCACGTAAGTAGGAAGACGGTCAACAAACTGGACACCAAGAAGAAGAACCAAATGCTCAGACACAACCTTAGAGTTATTTATCTCAAACTCCATTGATAATTTCACTTCACTTTCACATTTTGCATTTGATTTAACTGTCCATTCTGGAAGAGGCATGAACCAAAACTCAAAATTTATCTGAAAGCTACCTCAATTTTCCTTGGCATTTTGAAAATTACGGAGTTGAAGGGTGTGGAGAGTAATCTCTTTAGAGCAGTTTAGAGTAGGAAAAAGCTGCATTCCAAAAGTGATACTGTAGAATTCAAAACAAAAAAGTTCTGTGTAAATAATTTAAAAAGTCATCATAAATTTTGACTGAAGAATTCAGAAAAAGAAAATATATCCCATTTTCCATGTACAAGATAAAGTATTGAAATGTATGCCAGATTCATTTATGGCAAATGATTCCCTGGGAGGCAATGTATATTACTAACATGTGCATACAAAGAATCAATGCATCATCCCAGGCTGTAAGAACAACAATAGTTTCAACCACCAGAGGGCAGAAATAAAGCAACAGTGTTTAAGAATCTCAAGATTCTGCTTTTACTAGGGAAAAACTAACTCCAGTCTCCATCTGATTTTATTTTTAGTTGAACAGACATGAAAATACCTTGTGGCAAACTTCCATTGTGTGTTAAATAGGAAAATTATTTTGATTGATAATTTTCCATTTGACTGGTCTGCCAATTCATTATTTTTCCAATGGTTATAGTTTGTAGTTTTTATAAAGAACTATTTTGAGAAACAAGCTACAACCAGATTTGGGCAATCCAAGAACTCACATCCAATCAGCCTGTCTTTGGGGAAAGCATCCTAAGTCAGTCTCATCTGTATTCAAACATGCACATTCTTCTTGCTTCACTTTCCCAACTTTATCTTTCTCATTTGTTTAAACCTAATCTATTGTGATGTACCTCTGAACTCCAGAAGTTTGGCTCAGCATATGTCGTTTTGCCCTAGGTCTTGATCCCCAGCACTGATACCATGGGTATAAATTTTATTTTCTAAGCTCATTTTGATGTATTAGGTAGTGAAATAACCATAAAAACAATAATAGTGATAAAAGGAAATGTTCTTATAAACAGATATGAACGATGTTTGATTCTAGTGTCCTGGAATTACTCTTTTCAGCAGTGTAAGGACTCTGATTTTTATTTTTTTATTTTTATTTTTGAAAGGCAGAGAGAAGCACAGAGAGAAGCTGACAAAAGACAGAGTTCTCAATCACGGTACACTACCCAAATGCCTCCATCAGCTGAGGATGGCCCATGCAGAAGTCAGCAACCCAGAACTCAATCTGAGTCTCCTAGTGAGTAACAGGGGTTCAAGTGTTTGAGTCATCACCTGCTGCTTCCGAGAGTGTACATTAGAAGGAAGCTGGGGCTGGCACTTCGGCTCACTAGGCTAATCCTCCGCCTTGCGGCGCCAGCACACCGGGTTCTAGTCCTAGTCGGGGCGCCGGATTCTGTCCCGGTTGCCCCTCTTCCAGGCCAGCTCTCTGCTGTGTCCAGGGAGTGCAGTGGAGGATGGCCCAAGTGCTTGGGCCCTGCACCTGCATGGGAGACCAGGAGAAGCACCTGGCTCCTGCCATCGCATCAGCGTGGTGCGCTGGCCGCGGCGGCCATTGGAGGTTGAACCAACGGCAAAAGGAAGACCTTTCTCTCTGTCTCTCTCTCTCACTGTCCACTCTGCCTGTCAAAAAAAAGAAGGAAGCTGGAATCAGAAGTTGAGCTGGGTCACAAACCCAGGCACTAAGATAAGGGCTGTGGGTGTCCCAAGTATGGCATCTCAACTGCCAAACACCTGTACTTAGATTGTGATATTCCAATGCCTTCTTCTTAATGTCTATAAAAGATTCTGTGAAGTATTCCCAGTTGATCAAATTAAATTTCTCTAAGATCTACTAATTAGTCATGCTTGGATTAGCTATAATTTTAACTTTTCTTCAATGTAACATTTTATTGGTGTGAAATGTACTATAATTCATTAATAATTAGTCACTTGAACAGTAATAGAAATAATGCTGAATGCTTACTCAGAGCCAGAAAGTGTTCTGGGCTCTATTAAAGGAATTTAGAATTTTGGAATTTATAACAACCTAAGACACAGATGCAATAAACGTGCCTGTTTTACATATTGGGAAGCTGAGTCACCTTTAGGTTGTGTAACTTTGGCCAAACCCCACCCCAGAGTACACACAGATGAGCCTTCATTTGTACCCAAGTAGTCAGTTTCCCCAGTCACTGCCCTTAACCACTGCTCCATTCCCATGAATTACCCTCTTTTAAAAATATATATTCAGTCTTTATTTTGTACCTTCATTCACAAATACTCATTAGGTGCCTACTTGGTACTAAGGATTGACTATTCACAGAAAAATTTGAAAACAGACTCTACCCAGGAAGGAGTGCAGTCTGGTAGAGAATAGAAACCTTAGATTAATAAGGACAATAAAGCTTTGTGGGTGCTGTGACATTTATGGTTTAATTATAAAAGCAAAACTAGAACATGGACAGGATTCCCAGAAAGAACTTTGGCCAGGTGCCTTGCGGCAGGTGACAGAAGGAAATATTCCAGGTCTAGGGAGAAAAGGCAGGTGCATGTGAGGAAGTACCAAAGAATTTTGCAAATTTGAGGAAAGCTCCTGGTTATTCTAGGAGCTGAAGTTTGAAAACTGTGTCCCATGAATGTACATGTTTATCAAAATACATTGAATGCTACTGGGCATTTCACCGTATGCAAATATTATCTCACTTTTTCAAAAAACTGTTTGACAATTTTAAAAGAAACATGTTGGGAGAGGCAGACAGAGGCTGTATTACAACTGGCCTTGCATGATATGTTGGAGAACAGGCTTTTTGCCATCCATGTGAAGCGGAGTTTCTTAGGCAAGAGAGTCACCTAGCCCAACATGTGTTCTGGGAAATCCACCTGGTGGTCAAGATGGGGTTGAGTGCGAGTGAAACCAGCATGAGAGGATCAGGCCATTGAGGAGGCCACAGCATGGTTAGGCAAAGGATGATGGATGCTGGACTAAGGCAGGTAAAAGGAAATAAAGAGTAAGAGATGGCCTTGAAACTATCTGGACATGCAACTGTCTGCCCTGCTGAAGGGATGGGACCCAGAGCAATGGAGAAATGATCGTATATTGGATAAGAGCAAGCTTATCTACTGGAATTGGAGGGGGGTGGTCTAGGTGGAAACAGAGGTTATACTTTCTTAGTATGGTTGATCTTCTTGACTGTATGGTGCTAAGTCATAAGCCTTCTCTTCTTTTTAAGATGTAGTTATTTATTTATTACAAAGGCAGAAAGGGAGGGAGGGAAGAAGGGAGGGGGAAGGGGGTGGAGGGATGAGGAGAGAGGGAGGAAGGGAAGGAGGGGGGAGGAGGGAGGAATAGAGAAATAACTTCTATCCGCTGGTTTATCTCCCAGGGCTGGGCAAGACTGAAGCCAGAAGCAAGAAACACCATCTCAGTCTCCCATATGGGTGTCAAGGATATGACCCTACAAGCAGACAGTTTGAGGAAGGAGCAGACAGTTTGAGGAAAGAGAAAGGTTTATAACTATGGAGAATAAAAAAAGGAACTGTGTAGAGATGTGTAATATGACCTGCACTTAGGACAGGGAGTTTTGGGAGAAAAGTCATTATGGGTGCTGCCAATGTTGTGGCATGGTGAGTCAAGCCACAGCCTGCAACACTGGCATCCCATATGGGCACCAGTTCACATCCTGGCTACTCCACTTCTGACCCAGCTTCCTGCTAATGGCCTGGATAAAGCATTAGAATATGGCCCAAGTGATTGGGCCCTGCCACCCACATGGAGACCCGCATGAAGCTCATGGTTCCTGGCTTCAGCCTAGTCTGGCCTTGGAGGCCATCTAGGAAGTGAACCAGCAGATGGAAAATCAATCAATCAATCTCTCTCTCTCTCTCCCCATCCATCCCTCCCTCCCTCTCTGTAACTCTGACTTTCAAATAAATAATAAGTCTTTGAAAAAAAAAACAGTAGTCACAGGTACATAGAAATTAGGAGAGAAAGAGAGAGAGAGATTAATCCAAGGGGAAGAAATATTGTACAAGGAAAATATGAAAAGTATGCAAGGAAAGATATAAAAGTGTAGTACACTACATTACTCAGCTCTGAATATCAGCACATGGTCATAAAAATGCAAACACTTGAATCTAAAGATTATCTAATATATTCAACAACATTTGAAGGAATACAGGGAAGTGATGTACTGCAAGGTAGATGGGACAAGTTAAGGTAATAAAGTCCTCCCTCTTCCTCTGTAGGAAGTCAACAGCTGACAATGTAAAACTGAAAGGAAAGAAACAAAAAATCAAGAAAAGTGAAGATATGAATATATTTGCATGGTATTTATCAATCTGGCGAGAAATTCCAATAAGAAACAACCAAGAATTTTCTGGAATGGTGTTTTGGTAGTGTTTTGGTTTTGTTGTTGTTGGTAACAAACCTTGCAAAACTATCTGAAATGCTACAGAATATTCATGTATCATTTGAGTATAAGTAATTAACCTTCAGAATATTTTTAAAAGAAGTTGCAAGTAACACTGAGGTTTGGAAGCCACTTAAGGGAATCAGCAAGCACCAGCTTCACTGTGAGAGCCTGCGCCGATGGACGGTGGGAGAGGGCGCCACGAGCCAGGCATCCGAGGAGAGCTGGGGTCAGGAGGAGGAGATGCAGCCACCTTGCAAAGGTGAAACGTCACTGAGGTCCCAGGGAAGTGGGTTCAAAGGCACATTGTGGTTCAAGAGGAAAATGAGAGATGAAACTGAGAGGAAGAGTCGTGCAGCAGTGTGGGGCTTTGAAACTTTTTATAAACAGATTTTTTCAAAACAAAAAAGACAAATGAGATTTTCAGGTAGATGAGTGATCGATAGGGAAAATCACATTCTTAATATGGTTCAGGGCCTATATTTGATTTTGAGCTCTGATATTACATTAAAAAAAAAAAAACTCAGCAAGAGGATCTTAAAGCTCTTATGACCTTGGCGACTACTTTGCCCTGATTAGAAAGATACATCTTTACTAAAGACAAAGTTAGGCGGGACAAAATTATTTAAAAACCAAACTAAACCAGAGTTTACTGGGCTTCTTTGTTCCTATAAGGCTGCTGAATAGCTTTGAATAATTTCTGAATCTTCCATCTTTTCTTTATTACATCAACAGAATGTTTCACTTATTACTTTTTTGAGATAACATATTTTAATTGGCCTTATAGTCAAAGGCTTAATGGCTCCACTAAATAAAGAGTTCAACAAGTAAAAACTAAAAAGACCAGAGTCTAGCACGAAAATACACAAGGGCTATAAACAGCAATCGAATGAGAAGATTGAAGCTGTCTGTCTTAATATGCACCTGCAAGTTGACAGTCTAAGCTGCAGAATGTCTTCCTTGGAGCCAGAACAAAAGATTTCTAGGATCACGTTGTCCTAACTCAAAGAAATCCTGAGTGTGGAAGGCAGGGCCTACAGCAGAGGCTCAGGAGCTGAAGGGCTTGGCTTTGCCTCAGGGCTTGGCTAGGTGAAGCCAAGGAGTACACTGTGGCAAAGTGCACATTCCTTTGTTGGTAGCCTTTTTATTATTGTTGTGTTTTAAGTTCTGACCTTCACATAATTCCTTCTCGAAAGGAAACTCTCCAAACTAGGTCAGTTCCGATCCACACCATTTCGAACACATACCAGGATGTTTTCCATGAGTCCATAGACAAATTGAAGTTGAAGATAAGTTCATTTGGATGCAAAAAAACAAGCTGAAATGTGTGACTAGTTTGTTTATAATATGCATTGTTTGAATTTTTTGTTTAACACCCATGTGTTTAACTGCTTCTTACTGATTGGAGGATAGAAAGTGTAGGTTGCCGAGGTCAGGTCAAAGAATTCACCCTGTCCTATTTGTAGACCTCATCATTTCCTAATGTCACTTGAATTAGGGATTGAAAACTCCTCAGGCCTTGAGAATACAGCTCTCCACCCCACCCCAATGTTTCTGTCACTCCTTCTTGGTACTAGGATCCCACTACTGGACCATTCGCTGCTGAGAAAGCCTTTAGTATTTTATAAACCAAAATATGACATTGATTTCTAAAGCTGATTCTGGAGTTCTCAAATTTGAAGAGATATTTTCTACTAAATAATTGGAAGTTATCATTCCTGTCCTCTGTATGCCCCAAAGAACTCCCAGTTTCTTGAATATGGCCTAAAGGACATGATGGCCTAAGTCTTATGCCTCTCTTGTTCTCTTGGAAAATACTTCTTAGTTTTTTTCAAACTAAATTTTTTTTTTTTTAAACATCACTTCTCAGATTAAGGACCAGCTACTAATTCAAAGGCAGTCAGGCTCTTAGGGTGGGCATTTGGCCCAGTGGTTAACATGTCCACATCCCATAATTAAATACATGGATTTGATTCCTTCTTCTGGCTCCCAACTCCAGGTTCCTGCTAGCACACACATTGGGAAGCAGCAGATAAACTGAATTCCTGGGGCCAGCATTGTGGTGGAGGGGGTAAAGCCATTGCCATTGATGCTGGCATCCCATATGGGCACCCATTGGTGTTCCCAGATGCTCCAGTTCCCAATTAGCTCCATGCTAATGGTCTGGGAAAAGTGTACTTGGCCCCTGCCACCCATGTGAGGGGTGCAGATGAAGCTCCTGGCTCCTGGCTTTGACCTGGGCCAGCCCTTGCCATTGTGGCCATCTGAGGAATGAATCAGCAGATAGAAGATTCTGTGTCTCCCTCTCCCTCTCTCAGTCTGCCGTTCAAATAAATACATATTTGGGGAAAAAATCTATAGTTTGGCAGACACATCATTAAACATCAAGGCATTTTTGTTAAATAAGAAAACTGATGTAGATGAGAAAGCATACTTAATTTTTTCTTGAAGACACTTCATATCCTGGATCTTCTCGCCAAGTTAGAGATAACTGATTATGAGAATTCATTAGAAATGTGAAAACATTACTATGTTTTATATCAAAGTGCTCTTGCTAGACAACAAAACACTTGGAGAAAAAGTAAATAAGCGTTAGTGTATAATTTAGTTAAAGATAGTTTCTACTATTCTGTGTAATTATGCCAACCAGAATTTCAAATCAAGGTTATCTACAATGAATATAATTCACCTGTTGATAGTCAAGAATCAGGCATTTTATGATTACTGTTTTACAGGCATGCAAACACGTAAAATGTGCTTTCCCACGAGAGTACAATAGGTCAGGCAAGGTTAAAAAAACAGTTTTCCGACTTCCCTTACTTGGATTAGTGAGTTAAACATTGCGAGCAGATTAATGTATTACTGAAGAAAACCTAAAAAGTTGATATTCTCTCATATTCTCTTCCCCTCCCTATTTTCGAGGAAAAAAAATCTCTTGAATAAGGTAAAGAATCATCTGAAATTATGTTTTACTGCCATGTCATACCGACTGCAAATCTGACGAATATAATTCGGACATTTAAGATGGAAATGATGATACACGCTCAGAAAGCAGCATTGGTATCACTTTAAAGAGGATATCAGAAATTTCAGGCACCAGCTGAAAATGTTTTAAGAACAGAGAACTAGGACTAGAGCCACAGCTTTTAAAGAAAGGATGATTGATTTTGTGGATCTCATGCAGGGCATCTGTTAGGAAAGCCAAAATAGACTGAAGGCAGGTTTGGATCATAGTGGGGATGTTAGAAGCATGAAGTAAACAGGAAGGTGTTGTGAATATTAGACTTCAGACTTCTTTCTTGAAAAGGGTAAGAGATGCTTACTGGTCTGCAAGCTGTCCACACAGCAAGAGCATGTGTCTTACTCATCTCTAGATCAGCAGTGTCTAGTCCAGTAGCATAGTTCACATGCACTCAATGATTTTCTTTCATGCATGAAAGGGAGAAGTCAAAAATGACCTCGAGGTTTTCAACCCAGTAAATGTGAGAAGAAGAGTGGAATCAATTCAATGCCGGGGGCTTGGGGGGTGAGGTGGAAGGAAAGATTTGGAGAGGGAAAACAGAGTTTGGTTCTTGGATCTGTTTGACTAAAAATATTATATTTAAGTGCTGGCTCTGTAGCATAGCAGGTAAAGCCACCACCTGTGATGTCAGCATCACAAACAGGTGCTAGTTTGAGTCCTGGCTGCTCCACTTTCTTTTATTTTTTTTAACTTTTATTTAATGAATATAAATTTCCAAAGTACAGCTTATGGATTACAATGGCTTCCCCCCCCCATAACTTCCCTCCCACCCGCAACCCTCCCCTTTCCCGCTCCCTCTCCCCTTCCATTCACATCAAGATTCATTTTCAATTCTCTTTATATACAGAAGATCAGTTTAGCATATATTAAGTAAAGATTTCAACAGTTTCCTGGCTGCTCCACTTTCTATCTAGCTCCTAGCTAATGTGCCTGGGAAAATAGTGGAGGGTGGTCCAAATGCTTGGGTTCCTACAGTCCTGTGGGAGACCCAGATGATGATCCTGGCTCCTAGCTTCAGCCCAGCCCAGCTCTGACCCTTGAGGCCATGTGGGAAGTGAGCCAACAGACAGAAGATCTCTCCCTCTCCCTCTTCCTCTCCCCACTCCCTCTCTCCTTCTCTTCCCTCCCCACCCCGTCTCTGCCTTTCTCTATATATAACTCTGCCTTTCAAATAAATAAAAAAAAATACAATCTTTAAAAAAATAGTATATACAGTCAACAATTTCACAGGCAGTAAAATGTGTACAGTTTGGAAAGAGTTAAGTAAATGTAAATACAATGGCAAATATAAGAAAAGGCAATAGTGGCTATCCCTGGAGGAGAGAGTAGAGAGAAGGAAGAAGACACAGAAGAAGAAACTATTGCAGGATGGACCTCAGCATATGCAGGAGAGAATGGTGCAGTGAAGGGAGGAGATCCAGGTAACACATAAGAGTGCGGAAGACAATGGATTCAAAAAGTGGAGAGGTATATGATCCAGCTGTGTTAAAAAACTGATCTATGGGGGCTGGCATTGTGGTGCAGGGAGTTAAGCCACCACTTGCAACACTGACATCCCATATCAAAGCATTGGCTCAAGTCTTGGCAGCTCCAATTCTAATCCAGCTCTCTACTAATGCACCTGGGAAAACAGTGGAAGATGGTCTGAGTGCTTGGATCCCTGCAACCCTTGTGGGAGACCAAGTGGAGTTCCAGGAGCCTGGCTGCCCCCAGACCTGGGTGCTGCAGCCATTTCAGGAGTGAACCAACAAATGGAGGATTCTCTCTCTCTCTCTACCTTCCAAATACATAAATAAATCCTTTTTAAAAATGTTTGTTTGTGGTGATATTTTGGGTAACAGCCAGAATTTGATGCTAATAAGACTGAATTTGGGGAAGGAAAGAATGTTTTTAATGGCTGTGACATAACACATTTGGTTTAAAAATCTGTTTTTTTCCCAATTTGCTTCTG